CCAAGCGGTTCTCAGAGGCCATAAACCTCCACAGCATTTCATCCTGTGCAGGCTTTTCAAAAGCATTCACACACTCCTCCCCTCTGCTTCCCCCTTTACTCAATTCACAATAACGTGACACTCTATCTCTTTTACTGGTTTCTCTGCCCTTTAATGAAAATTGATAGTCTCGCACACACATACACACGCCCTAACAGCCATTGATTGAGGCACAATAAATGTTTTATAAGCCTCACTGTTAGGAGGCTTTTTTTAAGTGTCAGAGGGAGAAAATGTCCCCTTTCTGTATTTGGCACAAATAAAAACATTTTAAACCTAAGCCAGAACATCACTGAGGGATTTTCCTGATGCCTACAGCTTCTAGGAAAATTCTTGCCAAAGAAGGAAAGTGAAAACAAGCTAAAGGAGAGGATAGCCTCTCATCAGTTAGTCCAATCAGTTAATTCCAGAGTGTTTTCTGATATCTACTCTGTTTTTCTAACAGTTAAGATCCTGCAATTGGAGCCCCTTCAACTCTTTTTGTAGCCTAAACCACAACTTTCCCTTGTTGGTGGAAGGACGGTGGCACCATTCCACAGGAAATGCCTTTTTAACACAGCAGGAAAGGGAGACTTTGCCCCGTCCAGACCCGCGTCTTTGTTTCCATCTAATCGCATTAAGTGACTGGCCCTGTGTTTGTGCTTGGCTTGTGTTCATGTCAGTGTGGGCTCAGGCCAGTGCTCTGCCCCTTGCCTACAATGCGAAGTGGATTCCCTCGCAGAACACCGGCCAGTCGAGGGTTAAGCCTAAAAATTCTCTGAAGTCTTGCCTAAGATTAGCATGCCGAGGAATGAGAAAAATGCAATGAGCCTAACTGGACCTGACTTGTATGGAGGCTAATGGTTAACGAGTCGTGATGGATTTTCTCTGTGATTCAGTGGAGATGACTCTCACACGTAGATTATATTTTCTGAAGGATTAAAATTGCTGTCAGGGTGAACTTTGATGCCATAATGAGGTTTTAAAAGTCTGAAAGGTGCTTTTTTATAGGCATGTGAACAGAAAGATTCGCTCTAAAGTCGAATGCTACCATGAAACATGCAACAGGTGTTAAAGAGTTTGCATAACTTTAAAAAAACATGATGAGAAGTGATGGTAAAAATGTCCTGAGGTCTCCTGACACTCAAAGATTCTGAGTATTTACCTCATGGGAACTCTGCGGCTGCAGAGCTCGCTGAGTCACCTGACGACAGTCGTCTGATTGGTGGATGGAACTTTTTAAACTGAGCCCTTCCCACAACACCAAAATGGTTTAATTTCAGTCTGAGTCCATAACTCCCAAAATATGTTTTATGGCTTTTTTTTAAACTGTTGTGCTTGTATTCATGCTTTAATGCGTTTTAATGCAGAATGCATGCTACAAGTATTTGCATGCAATTCAGTATTGTTTGGTCAGGAGCGACTGTCACATGCACACCTTTGTCTTTGCTTTATGCAAACTCTCTGCAACAGGTGCACAAACTGAGCCCCACAGGGACATAAACATATGAGGTGCCATTTAAAGACAAAAGCAGCCACACAATAAACCCACAGGGCTTCACTCATACCTCTACGTTTGATAAGGACCCATCTGCAGACGTCGCACGTGGCCAGGCTAAAATTGTCACGTCGCTTTTGAACTTGGATGCCCCACTTAAAATATATCACCTAATCATGCGCCGCGCTAAGTAATGTCAGTTGTGCTTCGTGCATGTGCTGAGGTCTGAAAGAGTGGGAGAGTCTCGCAGCTGACGGGTCTTTCAGAGGGAATCGGGGCGCAGGGCCATGTAGCTGCAGCTGCCGCCTCTGTGTACGCTCTTTGATGGCGAGAGGCGATGGCGTTTACTTCCACACCCGCAGCTACACACACTCACAAAATACACAAAGGCTCATTTTCTCCTCTGTTGTTTAAACTTTACTTTCTGGTCCCCTGAGGGGTGCATTGCATGCATAGGGAGGGCATGTTTTGTGCGTTTGTTTATTATAATGCACAGCTTTGAAATCACGAGGCTGTTGCAGGTCTCTGCAGTTCATGTGTGAGCTGCATCCTTGTAAGTTCAGTGACTGTAGCAGTTGGTGTCACAGTGCAAGTCATTTGTTAGTTTGGAATAGAAGCAAGGGGACACCCATGATGCTGACGCACTTATTGCAAACACTCACACCCACGTAGACCCAACATGCATACACACAAATACAGCCACCCATTGTTTAACCAGTCTAACAGACTGAGAGCTCTCAACCGTTACTCTGTTTATGGTTTGTTTATCTAGCAAAGATAGCCATCCCACCTGCTCCTTATCTGGACGCTGCACACGCACACTTGGAACGTGCTAAAAAACCTGACATCACCTGATTTTTGTGGTTTTGTTTTGCACGGCGACAAAAAGGTTTGTGAATGACATCAACGTACTTTGATTATCCTCATTCGCTGTTTTTTTTCCCCTTTTCCTTCTTGTGTGTGTTGTAGGTTTGGATGACAGCTTGCAGCAGTACGTTAGCAACTTTGAGCGGGAGAAGATCAGTGGCGAGCAGCTGCTGAAGATCACACATCAGGACCTGGAAGAGCTCGGCGTTGCCAGGATTGGCCACCAGGAGCTGGTGCTGGAGGCTGTCGACCTGCTATGCGCTCTGGTCAGTAGATCTGTTTCTGGTTGAATCTACGTGAGGATTTTATAGGCTCAGGAAGGCTCTGCTGGTCCCTGACCCTCCCCCCTCGCTCTCATTCACTAAAAACTCAACTGGTAGTTTCTGGTCTGGCAGCTAAAGGAACTAGCGATGCAGAAGAGCTCATCGTTTCCCACACATCTCAGCAGGGTGTGGACGCATGAAGCAGCCTGAGGACACTGGAGAAGAGCAGCGTCACTCAGCAGGTCACAGGTGTCACAGCTGTGTGGCAGTTTGTAGATGTGGGAGATAACAGAAGCTGATGCTAATGGGTAACATGTAGCTAGCAGTGGCAGTTAGATGTGTTTGACAGATAAGATAAGAAGCTCCTCCTCCCTTCTCGCTATATGTGCACCAAATACATGCGTAATTAAGCTGTTTGTTCATCAGTCTCAAAGGAAATGAAAAGTTGGTTTCGTGCTTACTCCTGCAATCATCTTCACTCCTAATTCCAGGCTGAATCTCTCCCGAATCCCATGTTTGGCTCCTCTTGCTCACTTTGAGTCACGCTGATCTGCTGTCCATCACCACAGATCCCAGAACAGCTTCCAGCTAAAGTGTGTCTGCCTGAGACCTGCAGGCGAGTGAAGAGTGATGAAACTTTCTGCGCTCCAGCTGAAAGAGAAACAGGTTCTCCAGCAGATGGGATCGATTTGGAGTTTTATCACTTCCTGTGCCATAAAAGTCCAAGCTTGTGGTCCCCGCGTTTTTGATCAGTGTCAGCATTTCTGTGCTCTCTTAAAACACGTTACATTAATCATTTGTGGCGTGGTTATTTTTGCTCAAAGCTATTTAAATGTTAAATCTTTCTTCTCCTGCATGAGGCGGGATGGAAAATTGTGGGTAGAATAGATTTGGAGTTACACAAAAGCCACATTTGAGTTCTCGTGCATAATAAAGCAAGTGTACGTGCGCTTAGCTCGGATCTTATTATCGTTCCTTAGCTTCTTTGCATTGCTATAGAGTCACATGAACTGAGCTATTAATATACACAATCTACAGGAAGGACGCTGAAGTATCTAATCTCATGACAAAAGTCCAACCTGTCTATTTATCAGTTTCATTGTGAGTGATATGCAAAATATGTTCATCTCTTCCCTTTGACACAGTTTTTGACAGTTTTTCCATCGATGCACGATAAGCTGCTGCCTCCTATCAGTGCTCGACCTGTAGTCACCGCACTGAACAGATGGAAGCATTCAGCACGTATTCATTGGGTTTTTTATTGGATTTATTTATCATAAAATTTGCACCATGTGTTGCACTGTCCCAGTAACCAGGCCCAGATTTGGATTCATCCCTGGAATCTTTTGCATTGACAAAGTGGAATCTCAAGTGATTTACGGTAAAACAAGCTCCCAGTTTGTGCTTTGGTAGTTGGTGCACTGTCCTTAACCTTTCACCCTTGATTGAAGCCTTGCAGCATAATGTTTTTTGTCCGTTTGGGGTTTCCCTATTAAGAAGCGGGCCTCAACCTTCCACTCGTCTCATGGGAGGAAGTGAGGCCCCCGATTCAATTAGCTTTTACTCAAGGTCACTGCTACTCACAGGAACGCAGCCCAGCAGCACCCGAAACCCCCACACACTCTCACACTTTCACCCACTTTCTCCCCTTTTTTTTTTTAAATTTACTGGGAGGTCAGACACTTCCTGTTGACGTAGAGGCCCTTTGCTGCGAGGCTTTGCTCTCGCTTTTTAAATGTTTATGCACGTGTGCACATCTTTGTCTCGTTAATAGTCACAAACCTAAATCATGATGAAAGATGAGCTAACGTGCAGCGCTGCAAACCTTTAGGAAGCATTCGTACTCGTCCTCCTCCATCCGTGCGAAGGAGATCGAGATCAAACTGCTGTCTGGAGACAAAGAAAGAACACATCAATTCATTTTACTGGTCTTCTCACGAGCCTTGATGCTTTCTGCAGAGTCGGTGCTGAAACTCAACACTTCTATCATCACACGAGCATTAGCTGCAGCTATTGAACACGGCTTCATCATGGGCCACAGCGCTGCTGCAAATGTTTGTGCTATTGCTTAAAGATATGTCCTTTATAGTCAAGTCTGAGCCTAAAGTCAGCAAATAACCTCAAAGAGCCCCAGAAAGGCCTTACTTTCAAAATAAAATCTGCCATCTTGGTTTTTGTTTAGCTTGGTGTGTCTAAAAGGACGCTGCAAGAATGTAAATTTGACTTGAAATGTTGTGAGGATGAAAAATGGGTTGAGTGAAAACGCAGATTTTGCTCAGACGTGGTTTTTAGCTCAGCGGACATCTGCGGGCCAGTCAGAGCCGCTGCGACGGTGTGATTAGCCTGCTAATGAAAAAGCCAGGAGAGGTGTTTGATCTGGAAGGAGCTGACGCCGCCTTGGTGCTAAAGTTACACCGAATGAGAATAAAACCACCAAGTGACTTTTCTCTCTTTTTTTCACATATTCCTTGATCATGTTTGCATTTCCTTAATGATGTTTCAACAAACCATTTCATGCCGAGTGTGGCGTGAATAACGCTGCCTTCAGCTACTGTTTGACTAGTCTGATTATTCCAGTGTGTCCCCGGAGACTAAAACTGGGCAAATGTATGTTTTTGAGCCCATGTTGGCGAGGGGCGGTGGAATAAAAGGAGACGCTAACCACTTGCAGATCTCGTTTGTTGGTTGCCAAACACGTGCCGTGTTACTCCTTGCAAAGCATATTTAGCTCCTGGCATGTCACTCAGAGTGCAGCGTTTGCTGGCAGCGATGCAACATCCTGTAAGCTGATATTTACCGGGACAAG